ACTGATCAGGAATCTTAGTTAAAAATGTGCAAACTCAGTCCTCAAAATATGAAGAAACTCTAAGGCTCCATTTACACTGGAGCGGTTGACCGCGTGTATTTGGCCGGCCGAATATGTGTGGAGCCGCTCTAAACAGAAGAAACATTGCATTTTAATGTGCATTGTTCAGCCTTTTGCGGCGGCCGCATGGTACGAAACCGTGCGGTATGCAAAATAGTCCATGAATAGAAGAATGGACACCGGCACTCCAATGGCAAATCAAGTACGTCAATTTATGGACTGTTCCATTAGTATAAAGTGGGTGCTACGGATGGCCAACGCCTCTATACATCAATAGAAGAAAGGACATCGGGCACTCCAACGGCAAATCAAGTACGTATATTTATTGATGTACATGCTGCACAGCAAAATATACTTAGGGCAACTTTTCGGGGTCACACAGGATACCCTTCGTCAGGAAGAAACAACTCATCACTTGTTTCTACCGGATTAAGGGTATCCTGTGTGACCCCGAAACGTTGCACTAAGTATATCAATAAATAAACGTACTTGATTTGCCGTTGGAGTGCCGATGTCCATTCATGTATCGAGGCGGTAGCCATCTGTAGTGCCCACTGTTTACTAATGGAACAGCGGCTATGAGTGCGGTGGGTACATGGACTGAACGCAAAATAGTCCAAGTGCAATTTTGTGACTGATTTCCCACTTTCGCTGCTATATAATAGCTACAAACGAGCAGAATCCGTGCGGATGAAAGATTTTAGCCTTTGCGTTGCTGTGTGGTCTCACGCACGGAAAACAAAATGCGAGACGCAAACACTATGTGAATGGAGTCTTAGGCAACTCCAAATTAATAATAAAATATTGATTTTGTAGGGAAACCGTTACTCACTTCAGAGGGGGCTGGAAGCCCTCTAAGGTGTATGAAGATTACGAGAGAACAATCATCAGGGAGAAAATATAAATCAACTTTATTTTACAATTTGACACATTTTATGAAAATGATTACTTCCTTAGTTAAAGCCCAATCATTTATCGGAAATAATTGATCAATAATTTGATACATTTCTGCAGCAGGAATACGCAACTTTTACGTTTTTTAGGTTTTTATTTGCGCTCCAGAGCCAGCATTAGATCATTTTATTGGTGCAGAAGGCTGCAGGTAACAATGCTGCTCTACGTGTAGAAGGAGCAGCCTGTCTGACCTACTCCCGCTGAGTCAGAGCTGGGACTCTCTACTTAGCTAAGCTCATGCTTTCTGCACCATGTACTAACTCCTCTAAAATCTTTGTTGTACAGTTATTTGGTGCTGCATTGCTTTTTCTTGAAAATATTCACTGTTGGGCCCCACAGAGGTACTGCAATCTCCATTAATTTAAATGGATAAGAGGAATATAAACTCTCTTAAAGAATGGAAATTGCAGTGCACGTGTAGGTGGAGAAGGACCTGACAAGAGCTGGACAGTATTCTAGACAGGTGATGTGTTGCTACTGAGCAATTTAACCACTTGCAGGTAATTTCCTCATTAGTAGCACATTCTTTTCTATAATAGAGTAACTTCTGGCAATCTGTTAGTAGCAAGGTTTTCCAGACTGTCTGATCGATTTTTTCCCAGATGGCCTTGACCAGCAATGTATGTAGGTCCCCTTTAGCCGCAGGTGTGGCCAGTGCTTTCTAGGCACTTATGTATGAAAAATGTGCTAACCTCAGGTTTCCCATAGCAGTTGATCAGAATCCTTGTTTCATTTTAAAGAAGAACTCAGGGGAAACTTTTCTTATCCCCCCGCACTGCAATGGTTAAGTGCTCGTTTGTTTCTAGGTACTGAAATAAAAAAAAGTTATACATACATACATTATATATATATATATATATAGATCTCGATCTATATATAAGGTGATGACTGACTCACACGATGTTAGTGCGCTGAAGCAGAGGAGGAGAGAGGCTGGAAAGACCGGTCTACGCCAGCTCAGAGGATTGGGCAAGTATCATTTTTTTTTAAGCACCTAGACGAAAATGAGCCCTTAACACTTGCAATGTGGGGACAGCCCCACTGCAAGGGTTAAGAAAAGTTTTTCTTAGGGTTCTTCTTTAATCTTTGCCCAGCAAGAATGGTCACTGTAAAACATTTTTTACAAATTGCTGCTTTATAGATGCTCTTTTATGGAAACTTCAGGACTGAACATTTCTGCTTACTTACTATTTAAAGGGGCCGTTTGCCATAATTACCCCGTTTGTACTGGGCTGGCAAATTTAATTATCACATGTAAACTAGATGAGCAGGACTGTCTGTCCTAGCAAAGAGTCAAAGATTCAAGGCATTGTATGTTAATACACTTTTTTTTTTAAATGTCCCTCAGTCTGTCCCCTTATCTGCTCACACGCATCTATTCTAACCACTAGAAGCTGCCTGCAGTGTCCTATGTATAATCCTGCTCCGAACAAACAGGTAGGAAATATATTTTAAAAAAATTATTTTTATGCTGTGTGAATGGGGACACAAAACAAAGATATAGTGGACTTTTCTCAAATATAACTGCAATAGAATACACTTTAAAGCAGACATTCTTTATATAAATATGGGATATTTTAGTAAATAGAGGTTGAAAAAATTTGAAAATTGTAAATTTTTCTAAAGCTTTTAGGTTCCTTTGCCTGTGAGAGAGATACGTTTTAAACTACGTGCATTATATTGTTCAATAAAGCTTTCTGAAACCTTTCCCAGAAAGAAATTTCCTTGTGGTAAATTTCCATCACATGTTCTTAAAACACCTTTGGTGGATTTCTACCTGCCCCCCAAGGTGAGTGACTATTTTGTTAATAATTAAATCAAGAATGCTGTAAAGCCTCTAAATTCCTTCATATTTTGCAAGAAACAAATCAGAATGTTCCTATGTATCAGAGGCTAGGGGAATACTACAGGAGGTTCATTCCAAATTTTAAACTAATGCTGGTCCACAACAGACCTCATACAAGGATTTTGTGTTGATTAAATAGGCAGCAAGAATCTCAACTACCTTACAGTTCTTAAAATTTGCTTAATGTGCACAGTAAATTTTTGCTTCCTGAACATCCAAAAACAATTTGCGGTACAAACTATTGCTGATGGCAATGGAGCAGCTTTGTCACAAACCACTGACTAAACGTCACTTGTTACAGTTAAGCTAGGAAGTGAATAACTTTGCACAGCTGTGGAGAAACAGGTCTGTCAGTTGGGCCCATAAATGATAAATAAATTGTAACCCAGTTATAATTAGGTGACTTGCAAATCATACAGAACTGACAAGCTGTTTAATAGCTGTGCATCCTTTTAAATTCTCAGTTTAGCAGAAGGCTGCAAAGCAGCAAGGAAATGTACACGATTTGTCACATACTCATTGCCTTACAAGTCAGTCTCCCATCCTACGGATTTCTACATAGGAAAGAAAATGTGATGCACATCTACCAACTGTGTAATATTTTGTACAGAAATTGTACGTTGTCAAATATATTAGGAATAAACCTAGTTTACAAACTATTAGAATTGGGGTTTGCCCAAAAATCACCCCTACTAACACATTTCATCTGCTCTCATTCTCCAGTCCCATCAGCTTGTGCGGATGTAGATGTGATCACTTCAGCTTGCACTGCACAACTCTCTTCTAGGCGAGCTTTTTTTGGGCAGGGTTCATTTTGCTTATCTTGATCAAAAACACTGGACACAGCAAAAGGAAGTGAGGTGCTTGCTTGAGTTGCGAGAAGCTGCAGTGGGTTCGAAACAGCTGGAATAAAGTAGCATTGAAGACAAATTACACAAAAGGTAAACTGTAACAGACATGTCAAACAAACTCAATACCTATATAAAAGAGAATCTGAACTGTGGAAGTTGTACACAAAAAAGGCAAGCAGAAGGCAAGAAACTAGTTACCAGTATTCTTATAGGCTCCCAGCAGCTGATCTGTTCCCCTTTTATTGACCTACCATACCCTGTTCTGCACTTTATCTTTGTGTGGAGGTGACAATATTGGTAAAGGATTAGGGCTTTGCTTTCTTATGTCAGAGCTGCCCCCCTAATGACTGGTGATCTGATGACCAGTCAAGGTAATGCAAGTAGAAAGAGGGGTGCAGAAATCACAGATCCACAGAATGAATGAAGCAGGGAGATCCTTACACTGCAGCTTTCTCTCCATCAAGGAGGACAGTTAGCGGCCATGTAGTGACATCACCAAATCTCCTGACTAGCAGTCAGAGACACAGTTTCTTTGATCTCACACTGCAAATATACAGCTATGAACCTGAAGGTACGGAAGTGCCTTGGCACAGTAACATGCCAGGAAGTGCACAGTTATTATTACATGATGAATTCATAGCAAAATATATATTTTTAGGGTACTGCTTATGCTCAAACATCATTTCCAGCTGTAGCAAATCTTCCCTTTTTTAGGTCAGGTTCATTGAGGGCAAATCAATTAAAGTGTAGGAAAGATTAAAAACCACTGTCAGATTATTTCTTTCTGTTTTCCACACATGGAACATTCACCCGCACTAGTGACCATTGTCTCCAGTAAAAAAACGTGATGGGAAATCCCAAATTTTTGAGTAGTCCTAAGAACACAAGTGAAAGGGAATCCTCCAATGGGTAAACCTGTTTTAGTGATAACTGTTTAAGAGGGGATAACCCCCGCTTTTGACAGATAATCTACTTCCTGCTGTGACGGTAATATTTCTGAGACACAGATATAAACAAAAAACAGGCAGTGGCCTTATCCATTTCCTATTATATATTTATAAATAAACATATGCTTTAACAACTGCTTAATAATCAAAATATTTCCTTATTCAAAAATAAAAACAACAAAAACAGAAGAAAAAAAAAGAACAATTGCTTGAAGTAAATATAGGTGTAATTTTGGTCAATTTGCTTGTGCATGTGAAATAGACCATCCCAAGCCATCTGTATTGTGTGTCCACCAAGTGTTGCAACATATAAAAATATGCTTAGAAAAAACACACTATGAAATGTGTTCAATGAAAATCAGCAGACCTTATGCACAGAATGAAGATAAACCTAAGAGCAGTTTAAAAAAAAAGTTATGCATGGTTCAGAGTATATATTTATTCCACCAAGTTGGAGTTGGAAGAGGGGGGATATGATTAAATATATAAAAACAGCCTTCATGCAATGTTACAGTAAATAGCCTCTATGTGATTCTCCATTTCCTTCTGTATGATAGTCTGCAATATGATTACATACTAAAAGAAGAATGTACAATATAGTATATGAACAGAACTGCATGTTTTCAGATTACGTACCATAAACACTTCCCGCCAGACTGGCAGTAGTCATTTCTTTTCCACTCGTGGCCAATGATTGTGGATTTTGCATGAAGCTGAAAGGGGCAGCAGGTTGTAAGAGTGTAAGTTTTTGCCCAGGAATACCTTGAGAAAGTGGGCTTGCCACTGTCTGAATAACTCTGCTGGCAGTGGGAAGAACTGTTGGAAAGGTTATAGTGTTTACTTCTTCCTTTGAACCTACAAGATAGAAAAAGCCTTTCACAAAGCAGTGCATGGCAAACCAATAATGTGTATACTGCAGTAAAATAAACCCCCGATAATCTATTTCTGAACAACCCCTACCCTTAGATGTGGTTGCTGCATTAGATTCCTTTTTTCATGCTTTTTTACCTTTTATTGTAACCAGGTAATTCTGATAAGAACACATTTCTTGTCCTAAGGTAACAATGTTACTCAATGGTACTGTATTGTATCATTGAGTAGCAGCATTATTATTTCCCTAAGCTCCCGGCACCAATTGTTAATAGGGCTAACACACCCCCTGCCCTACCAGGAGTCACTGACAGAGGCCCCTGGTAGCAAGGGATGATAGGGCTGACATGTCCCCTGCTCAGCCCTGCATGTGATTGACAGAAGCTCCTGCCAGCAAGGTACGATAGGACACATACAGTATGCCACTGGCACTGGGTGGATGTTGCAGATGGGCAATGCTCCCTGCCTTTCTCGGCATAGGTATGAAGGAGCTTCTGCGGTCAAGTGACCACATTGAAATACTGTGAAATAATGTATGTGCAAACTTCTAAAATCACATAAAAATACTGATTTTGGTTAGTAGCGATGCACTGATACCGATACTAGTATCGGTGCCGATACAGAGAATTCCGATATCAGAAGTTCCTGATTGGCCGGGAAGTCACCAAGGAGCAGGGTGCCGACTTCACGGCTAATCAGGAAGCCAGGCAGCAAGTTATTGCACGCCGCCTGTCCAGGGCCGGATTAAGAGCATCACGGGCCTGGTGCTAAGGATTTTGGTGGGCCTTTTTATGGAAATGGCGATGGTCACCGGGGCGCTCTTCCTCCTGTCCGGGCTCGAATTTGTAGTCTCTTTACAGCTTGGAGTCAGTTGTGGAGCGCCAGGGCCCGGTTGCAGCTGCGTCCCTGGTAGATCTGCCACTGACTCCAAGCTGTAGAGAGACTAGAAATCTTAGCAATACATTATATAGCAATGAAGAATACCGCTAACTATAGAGGACTACAAATCCCAGCAATACATTGTAAAGCACTGCAGAATAATACCATCAGCTATAGATGACTACAAATCCCAGCACCACTTTATACCGCAATGCAGAATAACAGGAAGCTACATGCTCTGTGTTGCTCCGGGTTCCCAGCCTAATGTCTCCAGGGTCTCAGGAGGGCTGTGCGTGGTTTAGGGGGAGCTGTGCAGGCTCTCAGGAGGCTGTTCAGGTTCTTAGGTGGCCAGTGTGGCTCTACGAGGGTGAGTGCGGGCTCTAGGTGGACAGTGCGGGGATCCAGGGGGTTCTTGGGGTCGGTGCGGGCTTCAGAGGGGAAGTCAGAGAGACTGGCGACTACAGCCGCAGCAGATGCTCAGGCACATCAGAGGGCCTCAGGCACATCTGCTTCAGCTCGGCTGGGCCTGCAGCGGGAGCTCCACCCGCCCCTATATTAATCTGGCCCTGCACCTGGCTTCCTTAATGGGACTTCTGGTATTGGTATTCAGTATCGGCGAGTACCAAAAAAAAAAATATTGGTACTCGTAATTGATACAGAAAAAATCTACTAGTTAGGTTTACAATAGGGATAAGCTTGGTGTATGTGTCTTCACATACACTTTAAAAATAAAAACTAATGCAGCCACCACATCTGAGATATAATCTCAATGCAATATAATTAAAATTTGTTCTTGGGTTTTGATATATTTTAAGATACATTCATGTAGGGTTGCAACTAACGATTACTTTCATAAAATCCATTAGTAGGATGAATATTTTTTCGATTAAATTGGTTAAAAAAAGAAAAAACATATTTTATTTCAAATTAAATACACAAATGGAGTGTTACACACCAGGTTTACTTGAGAATAAAATTGCATGCACAATTGTTTGCAATCCCACCGCACTGGAACACATGGCATTGCTGTACCGCGTGTTCCAGAGTGATAACACTGCAGGTGGGAGTGCGTTTGGGGTGCCATTGAAATTAATAGCACCACAATGCACATTCCCCAGCAGAATTTGTCAGGCCGAAACCAAACATGACTTTTCCCACCTTTTTAATATTTTTTCTAAATAATTGTATGTATTATATTAGACATTTTAATTAGTTTTATGGATTTAAAATAGGGGTGCGGAAATTAACGATTAATCCGTCGATTAATCGTTAATTTCTTTGATCGATCAAAATTATTTTGATCGATCAAAGTACTCCCCTCCCTGCTGGCTTCCGTCGGAGATCCGGTGACGTCACGGACATAGACGTCACCGGACTCCTCCCCCCCTCCCCAAGTGGCTCTGTCGGCTAACGAAGGGAAGGGGGGAGGAGTCGGGTGATGTATTTGTCCGTGATGGGTAACGAAGGGAAGGAGGGAGGAGTCCGTTGACGTCGATGTCCGTGACGTCACCGGGCTCCTCCCCCTTCCCTTCGTTACCTCAGCTGCGAGGACCCAGCAGCAGCCACCTGATACAGAGACCCGCCTCGATGTTCCCGGCCGCTGTCCCCCCACGCTGGTATGTTTTTTTACAGCACCCTGCTCAAGCTATAGAACATGGAATAGAATATGGCTGAAACTGACTATATTCTATTCCATGTTCTATAATGTCATTGTACTACTAGGAAACTTCAAGTCGGCAGTTCAGCTGCGACTTGTAGTTCCCTGTATGATAGAAGGCTGTTTTAATTACTGTCCTCATGAAAGTACTAGTAATACAAAGTCATTATAGAAACATTGAATAGAATATAGTTGAGTTCAAAAGTTACTGTACTATAATGGCATTGTATTTTCATGAGGAAAGTAATTAAAATAGCCTTCTATCATACAGGGAACTACAAGTCCCAGCATGCACTCACTGTCCCTGTACAACTCTCACATATCACGCAGGGAACTACTGCAGGGGGCTTGCATGCTGGAACTTGTAGTTCCCTGGGTGATTTATGTGGGGGACGGTGTACAAAGACCATAAGGGCATGCTGGGACATGTAGTTCCCTGGGTGATGTGGAGAGGTCTACAGGGGCAATGAAGGCATGCTGGTTGTAGTTGAACTGCAAGTCCCAGCATGCCTTCATTCTCATATCCCAGGGTTGCAGGCACGGGTGTTCTGCTACTTGTGGGTTGGGGGAAGTCTCCTGGTTCATGAGTGCATCGGATGTGAAAAACAAAGAGAGAAACAAGAGGGCGCAAAACTAGGTCAGCTGACTGCCTGGACCGAACATATCAGGGAAGGTGACAGGAACAATAAATATATATGTATAATGTACTTACTTATGTGGGTCTGGGAAAAAATAGAGATGAAACTATTGGTGCAAGTGTGCCAATTTATACTGCCAAACACTCCATTAGGTCCAGATGGTATACGATTCAAACAAGGAAAAGCAAATCTCTCACTGCTCCATCAGAGATCTGAAAATGGTTCTATACAACATTTCGAAGAACCACAGGTAAAGCAAAACAAAAGCACATTAAAAATAAACAGTCCCCATTTACTTACCTCTGGCAGAAACACCATCCACTAAGGTTCCATGTACCTCGCTGGTAGGTCTTTGGTTTGCAGTATAGTATCCATTTGCAGAATTGTTGGGTGTTGTCAATACCTGGACCATAGTGACTGTGGGAACCTGCTGCACAACATGTATAGCGTGACTTGTGGGCTGCGAGGTCATAATTGAAGCAGACATGTATGCCAACGGCTTTGTCATAAAACTTGTGGTTTGTGCAGGTTTAGCCATAATAATTGACTGAGCACTCACTGGGGAACCTGAAATTGAGAAAGAAATCCTGTATGTTTCTGAAATAAATATTCCTCATTCTAAACCTCACATATAAAAACACAATGATCATTATTTAAAAATTACTCACAAAAATGCCTATTCATTGAGCAGTAGACATGTACAAATAATGTGCACAAATGTGTGCCTCACTCTGTTCTAAAGTATATCAGTATGTAAGAAAATGAAAATTTCAGAACCCCTACATTATAAGATTTACCTTGACAAAATGTCAAAACCTTCAGCATGTTAGAAAACACCCGCTAATACTCTGTCAGAGTACAGTATACAAAGACAGAGTGTACTAGGCTTCAAGCAGTGCAGGGCCATACCATCTGCTGCAGGATTACCTGTTCCACTTTTCTCTAAAAGATACTTACCTTACTATTTTGGACATGTTTACGGGGGCATTATGCTGCAGAATGAAATTAAGACCCTGAAGTGGCTTCCTGAAGACACTGCATGGTAAGATAAAAATCAGCCCATAGTTCTCAGCAGTGAGGGGGCTATCAAATTTGATTAGATCACCAACTCCACGGAAATGCGGCCCCACACATGCAGGAAACCACCATGCTTCACTGTTGCCTGCAGACGTTTGTTCAAGTACAGTTCTCCAACCCTTTGATGGACAAACTGCCTTCTGTGAGCTAAAGTTAAAATGTTTGTGTTTTCTGCATGTAAGCAAGTAGTTTGTATTAACAATGGAGTGGAATCACAAGCAGTGGGCTACATACCTTAAAAGGATTTTATTTTATTTTTTTTTACCAAAAAGTGGTCTATTACTATTCATTGAGGATTTTTAAAAAGGACATTCACATATCTTATGTTTCTTCAGTATTTGCAAAAGGAATGTTTGAACTCTAAAGTACGCTCTCTTCTACTGACATTCTAATCCATAAGACATACATTTTAGTGAACGGTCTAAAGTACTCAAGACTCTAAAGCTAGTTTATGCAACAGTTTATTTTTCCAACCTGGGGCACTCTGAGAATATCGACAGTCCGACATAGATGCCATCTTTAAACCAAACTCATGAGGAATAGGAGATCCCTCTCGGGACATGCACTCAGGTGTCTGCAAGCCGCTGGAATTTGGTGTTAACAGATCAGGATATGTTGGCGAAGCAGGAGCACTTCTGGGAATATAAAAACATATTTAATGACTGTATGAACACACATTTAGTGTAGCAATCTAAATTATTACAATCAATATTCATTTCTCTCACTGAAATGGCAGTACTCAACCAAGGTGGCACAACATACAGAGCCGGCCTAGCATCTGACACAAGAGGTGTTCAACTTCAATTAAAACATATTAATATCATTTCTTTTTTTTTTTTTAAGTAATCTTTAAAGCAGAGATGCAAAAATGAATGCAACATTTCACATCCTATACAACAATTTTATTATAGTAAAAAATGGAAAAAAAGATTCCTATAAAATCTTTTACTTGATGTCCATTGACTGACACAGGAATTCTAAAAACAGTCCGTTTATATGTTGCCTCCTGCAGGAGGTTTGAAGACTGGTAAACGGAAAAAAAGGTTGAAGGCCAGCCCCCTCTATATGTTCCCAGAGTGAAGGGAACCTGGGGTGGCACAGCTAGATGTAGTAGCAGATGAAAAATACTGCAAGGCAGCCAAAATAGATGCTGTCTCCAAGTAAATAGTCTGTGAGCTAAAAGGAGTAACATGAGCTTTCAAAGCCAAGGAAGTGCCTGAACAGGCCTATGGAAAGAAAGTAGCTGGGCACAAACAACTAGGAATTCCCTGGTGGACTTGGGGGGAGGCCCTGGGCCTGCCCAGTGGAGCTGAAACCGACTCTGCAGCGGAAGACCCTTTAATAGATGGGGGTACCAGGTTATAGGCATCAGTTCCATTTGGGGATACTGGGAAAAACACATCCAGAACCATGAGGGGAGTGTGGGCTGCAGTCACCAACAGCAACAAGACTGTCATCAGACTGTATTCTGGAAGACAGGTTGCCCCGCGTGGTGGTCAGCAAATAGACCCAAGGTAAGGCAAGACCTCACATACTCACAAACCTAGGCAGTTGGTGCCAATGAGGTTTACTGGCAGCTATAGGTGACCAAGTCACTGTAGACAGGAGGAATGAACTGGAGACTAGAGATCCACCTGATGCTCCAGGAACAAAAGCAGCAGAGGGACAGTCCCTTCTCTAGGCTGAATTGTGGGAAAGAGTGCACGGAGCACTGCACCTAGAAAACATCTTCACTCAGCTTTAAGCCTTACTGCGATGAAAAAGGTGGTGATTGGAAATGTTTAAAATGGCAACTAACGGTACCAACTGTGAGGTAGTTCTCAGTGCTTCAGCCCAAAAGGACTTGCCCACTAGGTGAACGTTTGGAGACAGGGTCATACCAGAGGCTTTTTGATGGCTCTGCAACCAGAAAATGCTTTGTGGATAACAGTAAACTAAGGTCAGGAAAGTGCCACAATGCCTGTTCAAGAAGGTCACATTCCAGGCTAGCCTAACAACGTCCAGAGGCCTGAGTTTTCAGAAACTGTGTGACTTGAGAGGCTGTGCCACAGCTCTGGACCTGGAGAGCACCCTGCAGCTAACTAATCAATAAATGAAGATATCCCCTGCACACACCATACAGCAATAAAGACCAGAAGTAGCTCAGAAATGTTCATATAAAAAGAACATCTGGGTAGCAGTGACCATAATATGATTTCATTTAAGTTGTAAACAACATTCACATACTGGAAAAATAAAAAAAAACTCAACTTCAGGAGAGCACATTTTCCCATGCTGAGGGCTGCTCTTCAAGACTTCAACTGGGAGGGAATATTTTCATTAAAAAATGCGGAACAAAAATGGGAATGTTTCAAAACAATTGTTCGCAACCATACGGCAAAATATATTCCTGTAAGTATTAAGTTTAAAAGGCTAAAAAGTAAAACCCATGTGGCTCACATCCAATGTTAAAAAAGCCAGAAAGAATAAGAAAAGGGCGTTTAAAAAATATAAAACTGAAGGAACACGGTCATCATTTGAAAGCTACAAAGAATATAACAAAGTATGTATAAAGGAAATAAAGCTCGCAAAGATTCAAAACGAATGACAGGTTGCAAGATTAACCTTCCAAAATTCTTTAAATATATTAATAGTAAAAAAAATCAGGTCTGAGCATGTTGGCCCCTTAAAAGATAACTCAGAGTTGGTAACTGGGGACAAAGAGAAGGCAAATCTATTAAATACTTTCTTCAGCGCTGTGCACACCAAGGAACAGGATGTAACTCAAGTCCATAATGGGGATAGCAGTGCCATAGCCTCTACTGAACCACAATGGCTAACTATTGATGTGGTCCAGAAACAGTTAGACAAAATTAAGGTGAGCAAAGCACCTGGACCAGACGGCTTACACCCATGTGTCCTCAAATAATTCAGCTGTATCATTTCAAAGCCATTGCATCTCATTTTTAGAGACTCTCTAATGGCTGGCTTGGTACAGATGGATTGGCGCAGAGACACACATAATCCTGCCCCTGTACAAAGCATTAGTAAGACCTCAGCTGGAATATGAAGTTCAGTTTTGGGCACCAGTTCACAAAAAAGCATGTTGTGGAACTGGAGAAAGTGCAGAGAAGAAGGGCGACTAAACTAATAAGAGGCACGGAGGAACTCAGCTATGAGGAAAGATTAACTGACCTGAATTTGTTCTCTCTGGAGAAGAGGCGATTAAGGGGGACACGATCACCATGTATAAATATATAAATGGCCCATATTAAGAGCTTGGTGCCAAATTATTCACTTTAAGGTCACTGCAAAGGACAAGGAGGCACTCTTGGCGTCTGGAGGAAAAGAGGTTTAACCTTCACAAACTGAAAGGATTCTTCACAGTAAGAGCTGTGAAAATGTATAATAGACTGCCCCAGGAGCTAGTTCTAGCTAGTTCAGTTAACCATTTTAAAGAAATCTGGATGTATTCCTAAATGCACAGAATATTACTGGATATTGAACTGGATAGGTATAATAAGCACCAGACATTGTTGATCCAGGGAATATCCGATTGCCTTATGGGATCAGGAAGGATTTTTGTTTTCCCGTTGGAACAAATTGAACCATGCTTTATAGGTTTTTTTTGCCTTCCTCTGAATCAAAGTGGGTAATTGTGGGCATAGCGTTCTGTTTAGGCTTTTCTTCTTTTTTTTTTCATATCTCTATAGGTTGAACTTGATGGACATGCGTCTTTTATCAACCTGACTAACTAAGTAGCTAACTAACACAGTACACAAATACTCTGCAATCAGAAAGTGTTTTGTGGATAAAAGTACAGGAAGGTCAGGAAAGTGCCACAATGCAGATCCCAGTGCCCATCACATTCCAGGCTAGCCACACAATCTTCCAGTACAGCCTCCAAAGCTGTTGCTGACCATACACTGATCCAGATAGCTCTGTATAGAAAGCAGGTCAATCTGCGTTCCTGAAGTCTTAAATGAGGTCACTAAAAAAAAAAATCTACACAGATACATGCGTATATACTGTGTATCTTGATTGAAGAAAAAATAAAGATTAAAAAGGCTTTTTGTCGGCAGACCTAAGGAACAGGTGTCCAACCTCCCAGGACACTATCAAAAAGCAGAGGCATGACAGAGGCGGGGTTAAAGGGGGGCTGACCCTAAACTTTTTCTGTATGCCAGTGACTAAACCTCCTGCAGGATAAATAACCTGAGTGTTTTCCGAATTCCCGAATAGCTACGACACTTAATTTTAACTTACCTTGAAGAAAGTGGACCAAATGGAGTAGGAAAGGAAGAAACACCCCTCTGCCTGCGTTTTCTAAATGCCTGTTCAATAAGTTTGGCTTCAGATGTTGGATCAATTCTCCAGAATGAACCTTTTCCAGGTTCCTCTTGAGAACGTGGTACTTTAATAAAGTATCGATTTAGAGATAGGTTGTGTCGTATTGAATTCTAAATAGTAAAACACAAAAAAAGGTGTCGTATTGAATTCTAAATAGTAAAACACAAAAAAAAGAACACTCAAAATATCAGCTTTAATTGTACTCAGAATAGAAAAGGATAATACCACAAAAGTCCACCATCCCCAATTAGCAGGAACATGCAGTTCAATGCCAGAAACTCATGTGTCTTAATACTTTAAATACTTATGCCAAGCAACAATCAGATATAATGCAAATTTAGCACTGTAACAGTGAGTGACAATTACAGTTATCCAAATGCTATACTAAAATAATTAAAACATATATTTTAATTGGTAATTATTTTTATGAGACAGGCTAGCTGTCAGGCAGGCTTGTAGTGAACCACCTCCCATTCTAAGTAGGTGTCCAGACAGGTTAAGCAATGCTATTCAGCATCTCAGCACAAATAGGACAACCAATAGACCTTAAACGAGAGTCAATTGTGCAGTCATACAGTAGATGGAAGGTCCTCAGGGCAAACAGTTGACAGAGAACTGCAAAGAACTTCAAGAAAACCTATATTGCAAGAGATACCATAATTTCTATTGCTGACCTCATACAAATGTTAGGCTGATTATATTTGCCATCAATACTTTTTGAAACGCTGACCCCAAACAAGCATGCATATCAGGAAAGTCAGAATTTCTTATCTACATTTTCGTTCTGGGAAAATGACCTGAATTACTGAAGCCACTGAACCAGGAATCTGGTAAGCAATGGCAGCCTCCATATTTCCATGTACAATTTTACACATATGAAATATATACATGGAAGCGGTTTCACATGCCAAAGGGTTTCTATTTCGATCTACCCAGTCCTGAGAGTTACACAACCTTGTATGACAGTGCAGAACTGATTTTTATTTTTGGCGGCAGTTAAGAAACACATTTTGTACTTCAAGGCTCATTAACGCATTTTTTTTATATCACTCTGCTGTTTTCTCCTACCAGTATGCCCCTTGTTATTCCATGAGCAGAACAGCTATACTGACTGGCTCCTTGTGCTGCTTCAGATACAGAATATAATTCAGATACTTATACTAGCTGTGTTTAAAAATGCACTTGATGTATTAATGAATACAGAGCTGCATTAGTCTGCATCTTTAAAAGAGAATTATGGGGTAACCTTTTTATCCCATAGTTCTCCTAATGGTCACAGGAGGACATATTGTCGGGATCCGTCCTGTGGCAGTCAGGACAGATCCCGACAATACTGTTGAGATCCACCCACCTAGCTGATTGACAGCGGGCTCTGTCTATCTAGAGGCTCTCTGCAGGGGGATGATCGGGAAGTGAACAAACAACGATATGTTGTTTGCTCACTTCCCGATCTATTGAGCCGACCTGTGACAGTTTCAATGTCACACGTCAGCTCTAACTATGAGGATGAGTGAAAATCACTCCTCATAATTCTCCTTCAATATCTGCCTGGAGTTCAGCTTTAACTTATAAAGTGAATTTATCCTTTAATCTAGGCTACAAAAAAAATTGACAAGCTGTAAAGTAACCCAACAATGCTCTGCAAATAAGTACATTAGATGCACTGTTGAGTAAATGCTTATTTGTAAAATGATGAGCTTATCTTCAGTGGATCTAATCAGGTTCTACAAGTTCCTGGGAGCCTTAGTATTGTACCCGATCTTCTGCCCGATTCCTGACATCACGGGGGTGATTTACTAACCTAAACACACGCACGCACTAGGTGCGTGTGATTTTTACACAGCAAAACTTATCAACCAAAAGGTCTCTAAAAGCATATTTCCACTAATGCCATATATGGAAAAATCATGCACATGATGCATATATAATGCTGCTTCACAGTTTAGACAAAAATGGTTAGCTCATGCATTTACATTCCTGCATTCATCAACGCAAGCAACATAGAGCTAATTTACACAACATCACCTTGCTTGGCTTTGCACAACACACCTGCTGGGTGTGTACACACTACAAAGGTGTTTAGATTCCACCCATAGATCATGCTGGGAGGGAACACACTACAGAGGTGTATACATGTTCGTAGTGTGTTTATAAGGTTAGTAAATCAACCCCCTTCAGTCAAGTAGCTGTCTCTAGAGTAAAGGCACATCTGGCCTCTAGTGGATTCTCCAAAGGAGGATGTGCAGAATTAACTCTCTCTCCCACCAACGTATGTCATACTTCGGCAGCAGAGCGCCGCTGTAAACAGACCTACAGCATCTATCTGTTGGCTTTACACTGGAAGCGATTCCAGAGGTCCGTAAATTTGTGCTCTTCCCACCCCCTAATCTCTCCTCAAAGAGCACCTGTCATCAATAAAGTCCTATCACATAGGGGGCTTGTGAGCCCCCCTATGTGATAACAATGAAGAAAAAAAGTATTTGAGAAATAAAGTTAAATGAAATAAATGTAAAAACTACCCACAAAAAATGTTTAAAGTCCCCCATCCCCACAAAAACACACACTATGTGCGCCTACATACGTATACAACAATGGCGCCACACGTTCGATGTCGCCGCATATGCCAGAGTGAGAGCAATCATTTTTGGGCCAATGTTCATGGTTAACTCTAAATTGATGACTTGTACATGCTTTTAAAGTGTCGCCTATGGACAATTTAGGGTACCGTAGTTTTTCGCTGTTTCACAGGTGCAAGCAATTTGTAAGCGTGGCACGTTGGGTATCTATCTCAACACAAATCTATCTATCCATTCACAACCTCATCTTTTATAGTTTAGAAACAAATTGGATATTATATTGTGTTTTGTGCACTAAAATTAATTTTGGTTTTCATAGAGTTGCACTAATATCATGCGACATAAAAATTTGCAACTGCCACCACTTGATTGGTGGAAATATGGATGTGGTTTATGACGTGTGCAAAAAAAACCCTGCTAAAACGGATCTGGCAGGGAAAAGGTTAACCCTGATGAGGTTAACCCTGGAAGCCTGATGACCACTGTAAATTTGGTTTCAGCCTAGTTTGGCAGTGGAAATCTCCTGGATGTTAAACCTGTGTCATATGGTCATACACTTTTTAGACCATACATAAAATCTTCAATTGTATTACTAGTTTCTTCAAAGTTTAGGAAGGCTCAAATCACCAATTATTTAAAATGTAATTTATGCATACATCCTTGAATAAAAAACAAAATCCGAGATCGGTTTCTTCATATTTTTACAGCGCCATCATCTCCTGAGGTATGACAAAATATTCTCTATGAGCTGCACTTACCTGCCAACCTTTATCAGCAGATCTGTAGTATGGGTAATGTTTGGTAATATGAGCATAAATGCCGCTCAGTGTGAGCTGTCGATCTTGTGCACGGGAGATTGCCTGAACGATGAGCTGTGCATAGGAATATGGGGGTTTGGAGGAATCCTGAGGAAACAGAAATTAAGAACGTGTTGAAAAATAAGACCCTGGAAAAAGTTGTCTTCTAAATATTCTAGTTCCCTGGCTGTCGCTGCCTTCAATATCTTCCGAGTAACTGATAGAAAAAAAAAAAACACTAGCGCCAACTTTCCACTTTCCTCGCGGGAACAGAGGAAGGACTCAAACAAAATGAGGCAACACCTTACAGTCAGGGATACTGGGTATCTAACAAAAGAGAAGCACAAGCTGCATGCAAAGTCAGGTCAGTTACTCAGAAGAGAAGCACAAAGAGCGCCTCCATAGCGTAAAACGACAATATTGAGTGATGTAAACAACAAAATTGCACTCACAAGCATCGAATAAAAGATGGCCTATAGCAGCAGAATCACAAGGAATCTGGGGATGAGCGAACAGTCATGGCTTCAAATATGCAGATGGGAGGCTGAATCCATCTTACTGCACATCAGCCCTCTGGTTGACACATTTCTGGGGCCGGACCACTTTCATCAGAACCTAACGAACGGAGTTCGGCCCCAGAAATGCCTTAACCGGAGGGATGATCTCTGCGTTCAGAACCTGATGAAAGGGGGCTTATCCCAAGCATGTTTAAATTCACTTACTGTTGAGGTAAGAGGTACTACCTCTGCTGGATATCTGCAAGCATCCACTATTCTTTTGGTAGAATCATACTTTTTAACATTATCCACGGACTTACCGCTTGCTAGTTTTAGTTTTTGTCTCCGACTGTCTCTCCCGAAGGCTGGCTTCACACTGTTGGTACTCTGTGATAACATTCATTCTAAATGGTACTCTAACACACCTACCCCGTGCACTTACTTTGATGCGCACAACAATGCTTGGTAACACACTACTGTGCATTTTGGTGTACTGCATTACTAAGAATTGTTTGCGTACCTTTTTTTTGTGTGCTCTTTGGTATGCGAAGCAGACCATTCACAATAGGCTGTCTCAACCAAACATGCATTAACGCACCTTTTTCACCCACACCTTATCAGTCCTTACTAAAACATCAGAATGAGTTGATGTCTAATCACCACATTTCTTTTGATAATGAGGCATGGATTGGAAATCTGAGATAATGGGGCAAGACTAACATGCATAATGTAATTTCTTTGTAAAGACAGGGTATATACACAGCACAGCTTTAGGATATATACAGTATAGCTTTAGGTAAACTACACAGGTTTCTAAATGTGCCATCATATAGCACATCTTTAGGTAGTATGAAGAGGTATGTACCGCTTTGCATATATAAAAAAAAAATGTCCCCCATATACCTATTTAGATCTCAAGAGACTTGACTCAACAAGACCATGAATCATTTTACATTCAGAGTAAAGTAATAGTCTAGGCGTATTGTGGTGGCTGCCCACATTCACATAGCATCTCTGCAGTAAAGATCCTCTCTCTGTTGTCATGGAGTCCACAACATAAGGTATTAATGAAAGAATCATAAGCATTTTACAAGAAACATGTCAAGACTGAAAGAAACTATCAACTCCCTAGTTGCCTTCATAATATGGGTGGCATATACAAAAATTGGCATAATGTGAGTGGGATATTCTGAAACCATGTCCAATACAATCCATTCCCCCCTTTTACTACAACAGTGGCTTACACAGATTTAAAGGTAACACTGTCACATGATACAATGTTGTTCAGTTTTTCTTTAAAAGAAACCGTAAAAAAATTACAAATAATTTACAAAATATATAAAAGGTTGTTATAGCCGACCCCATTATGCCTAAGACAGATGCCTGGCTGTCTTGTTTATCCTCTGGCTTTAGTACTTTTAGTCACTGATTTAGAACTAGTATGCAATAAGTGAAGTCCTTACTCTTGATCAGCCATATGACTTAGTCTGGGCACACACCTTACAACCAGCGCAAGACTTTTGTCTTGCGATGGTTGTAAGGTACTTAAAAAAACGTACGATCTGCCTATCTGAGGGACGGGCTTCCGATGACCGCAATGCCGAACGGGCAGTGTGCGCTTGCGCACACCGGCTCGTCCGGCTTTTATCTTACGAACATGCTACACACCCGCCGAACATTGTACGATGCTCGGCGGGTTTTCAAACATGTTCGTAAGTTTAAAGTCGTGCGACCTTATAGTAGTAGAGGTCGCACGGCTTCCACACACCTTACGATAATCGTACGATCGCGGGATTTCCTGCGATTATCGTACGATTATCGTAAGGTGTGTGGGGACCTTTACATCTGTTGTTTGCAGCTACCCACATAAGCATAACTACAGGTAAACTCTATATTTTGTAATATACTAATTAGGGATGCACCGATACCACTTTTTTAAGACCGAGTACCGATACTTATGCGCTGCCCGGCTTCCTGATACAGGAAGTGCTCGTGCTAGGTATCGGAGCATTTGGGCGAGTACGAGTACTCACCCAAATACTCGGTATCAGCACCGATACCGATACTCATTTTCTACTCCCATTTCCTGGTGATTGGATTTAAAATGAGCAGTAAAAAGAGAATTAACTTGGCCCTGTTTCCTGTGCCTTAATATTGACCCATCATTGAAATGAACGGCCTCTAAAAAATAGAAGAAAGTCTGACCAATTCAGGGTATTGCATAATGCTGTTGCACCCACCTTGTTTTGTTAATAAAGCTTCAAGATTTCATCCAGTCTGGCTTATTGCAGAATACGAGGGTTGAGCTGCATGTCAAGCTATACACAGGCCATAGGATAATGTGTAGCGAGGACAGAACATATGTCAATAGCCGATTTAGTCCTGAAAATATCCTTTGTAATAATTTCCTTGAATAAGCTACTATGCACTAAACTGAAAGTAAACAGTAGGCATGCACCGATACCTGTATTTCGGTATTGAGTATGAGTACCGATATTTTTTTTCCGGTACTCGCCGATACTGAATACCGGAAGTTCCATTCAAGAAGCCAGGGGGCGTGTAAAGACTCACCACCCAGCTTCCCGATTAGCATTGATCGGGAAGACGGCTTTATGCTCCCTCGTCACCTCATGATGAGGGAGCAATCAGAAAGCCGGGCTCCGCGTCATTACACAGTGCCCGACTGGTTGGTCGGTAAGGCGGCTCCATGCTCTCTCGTCACAAGTGACGAGAGAGCATGGAGCCGGCTTCCCAGCCAATCAGGAAGCCGGGCAGCATGTAATGACGCAGCGCTCGGCTTCTGATACCAGAAGTATTGGGCTAGGCATCGGAGCATTTGGGCGAGTACAAGTACTCGCCCAAATGCTCGGCATCGGCACTGATACTGCTACTAGTATCGGAGCATCCCTAGTAAATAGTTTCCTAATGAGACCTAAAAAACACATAAATGACAATATTGACTGTTTAGCTCGCCATACATCAGTAGATTTTCATTTAAAAAAATAGTTTTTGGAATACTTGTTTGATTTTCTAAGAGTTAATTGGTTCAATTTGACCGAAATAAATAAATTAAAAAAGGAGCAGGATGGCAATTTTTTCCTCTACCAAATTAAATTCTAAGAGAAACAGGTTGTTTTCATTCGAGAAACTTTATTAATTTCCAAATAATCGAATCTTACAACCACACAACAGTTTGAACTAACATTCATCAATGTTCTGACAAGATTTTCCATCTTACATTCGTACAGCTTACAGCGACACTAAACCTACATGTTTTCCTTCCTAATATGCTTCAAAGCCACGTTAATTTAAATTTTTTTTAATTTCAATTACTTTTTTTCCTTCTCCGCGTGCTCCTGCCCCTCTCCCTCACACTTCTGGCTACCTTGTAGGAGTAGTGCAAGTTTTTTTTGCCTACAAGTCCCATAAGGCAGTGTGCGAACTGCTCCCAGTGCGCACACGCCTTTTTACTGTCACGTATGTCAGTTCCTCCCTCTTCCCTTCTCCTCCCTCCTAAAGGTGTTCTGATTTGAGTTTCATTCATTTTCACCTACTGTATACAACACTCTCTGCATTATTACCTGGCTGTAAAAATGCGGATGGGAAGGAGGAGTTGTGGCAGAGAGGAGACATGATGGCGCTTCATGCGTCCTCACGTCTGACTGTAGTTCTCATCAGGAGCGAGGATAGAGCGCTGGCTACTTTTCGGCACACTCAGAGACCATGGGGAAAAAAAGTAGCCACCCTCTAGCAGGATGATATGGGTCTGCAACAATGAAGCCTGAAGTTGAGCAATGAAAAAGGTACATGTATATTAATTGTTTATATACTGGCATGTATTTTTATTATTTAATGGTGGAGTTTAGTGTCACTTTAAGTCGCCGGTATAAATGAACTTGACTGCAGAACTCATAGTAAATTGTTTCTATGTTAATATTAGATGAAACTGTATTTTAGAAAAAAAGCATTACTGTTTTCAAATACTTTCAGGTTCTGCTTTGCGGAAGGATTCCAAACCATTTATCCAGGTATATACAGTATTTACCAGTGTAAGTTTAGGATGAAGCTACCACCCCACGGCTACCACGATCTTGTCAAAACAACCTCTGATGCAAAGCAAAAATGGTATTACTCTGAACGTAAAAACAGATGACTCTCTGAAGTTGATAAACCTGACATACTTCTTGCAACTATGTGCAAGGGCAACAAAACGACTAACTTTCCGAATTTGCCAAACACAGTGTAAAATATAAACAGACATTATTGCTGTTGCCACAACCTGGGGTTTTTGCTTGTGGCATTAGAATTTGGATTATAGAAGGCCATCTACATGCACACAAGACTGGAATAAAAAGATTTCTAACTTGTTGACACTATAACTTAACCAATTGACTGACAAATGATACAAAGGATTGAGCAACCAAACATGTGCCACAGTATAAAGTGAGGGATTCAGGACAACAATCGCTGGACTAAACACTAATTTAGAAAAGTAAACCTTGCGGTAATAACCAATTCCCCAAAATGTATCACTTTCTGCTCTAACTAGTAACTGATTACTTTTACAACCATTCCTATTTTTTGTGAAGAATTCTGGACTAAGAAACTACACAGCATATGAACTTATTACCTGCAACAAATAAAGAACAAAAAGCAAGCAGAACAAATATGCCTAAATCCATGCAAAAAAGTTAATCCCAGATAAAGATGGGAGTTTCTTTTTTCCACTTTACTATACTGTACAGCAGCTCACAGCTACCCCTATGCCATGTTGGAAGATGTCTGGCAAAAACTAAATAAAATGGTGCAAAAACTAAATAAATAGTATCAGATCTACAGCAGGAGTCTCTGCTGCCTATAAGGCTAGGGCAGCAAATAACTAGCATATAAGGCTTTGCACTTACACTGATTTTGTAGTCTGGTACCTGTAAAGTATGTCCCAAAAACAATTCAGCAGTGTACAGAATATATCATACATACGGTAAGCCAAAGCTACAATTAATACCCCTGCAACTACGTATGCAAAACCTGGTGAATGGACAAAAGCATTATTTCGAGAGCCAAAAGAACTAAAAAGGTTAAGTACAGATAAATCAGCTAATGCATACTAATTTGCAGACTGGAAATTCAAAATATGGCAGCTGCACACCACACACACAGTGGATCCGATTTACCAACTGTGTGAATATTCACTTTCCAATCTCGTGAAAATCAAATTCCGGTTCACTTTGAATACCCAATCATGCGCAGAAGAAATAAAGGAATAAGATGTTTTACTCCTGACTGGCTAATTGAAGTGAATATTCACGCAATTTATTGTGCGATGATTCTCAACTCCTTTAGTAAATCAATCTTATAAAACTCTATACTCTCTTATGGAGGCAGAAAGGATGAAATCATTTAAAGTGACACTAAACTCAGGAGTTAAATCTCAAAAATGCATTCACGTATCTTAACTAATAACAAAAATTAGGGCTGTTACTGATTACAATTTTCGTGTTCGATTAATCAAAATTTTTGAAAAATTGATTAATCCATTAATTTCGATTAATTATAAACGCACATACAGAATTTTTGTCGAAGCAACAATGGTAATGGGGACAGGGCCACACAAAGAAATTTTAAAATAAGGTAAATTTAAAAAAATGAACACGTTCAGGTTTTATTGAAAGGGCAGGGTTACAAAAATGTAAAGGTGAATGTCCGAAGGAAGCTGCTCTCTTCCATGTGTATATGGGCTGGTTGGTTATTAAATAATCCACTCCATTTTTTTGTCGTTTGAAATCCTTTTTTCTGCGCTGGCTATACATGCTCGAAGAGCAACAGGACTGAATTTTAAAAAGCATTACAGAACTATTTTATATAACATAGTAACAGTAATAGTAACAGGAAGCAACATGGCAACAATACCTTTTTGTGTTTCTTCTGAGAACCTATTTTATACAGCTGATGCGTTCTAAGTAGTTTCTCTCTGTGTACTTTTAAATAAATGGCACCTTTGTGGCTCCGTCGGCTAACTAAGGGAAGGGGGAGGAGTCCGGTGACGTCACCGGACTCCTCCCCCTTCCCTTCGTTAGCCGTCACGGACATCTACGTCACCGGACTCCTCCCCCTTCCCTTCGTTAGCCGTCACGGACATCTACGTCACCGGACTCCTCCCCCTTCCCTTCGTTAGCCGACGGAACCACTTGGGGGGGGGGGGGGGGGGGGGGGACACGGGGGAGAG